AATACTAAATTCATCAAATTCTTAGTCTTCATGTATTTTCTTGTAATCTTTCTATTGTTGTTTTGATTTCAGTTGAAAATCATATTTTATGATTATTAGAGTTTTAGTTAAACACAAATTTTAAAAGAATATAAATTTTTTTAATAGAATTTAATGAGAATAAATATTAGTGGATGAATTTTAGAACGATATATTTTTATTTAATTTTAAATATATCTATTTTATATATAACGGGACGGTTCCTCTACCCACTAATTCGACAAATAATCGTGACCTTTAATTTAATCAATCCAACACTCAAAATTTATCTACTAAAATACTATAGAATTCGTAAACCAATCTCCAAACATCCCTAATTACCTTATTAATCCCTAAAATACTTCCATAACAATCATAATTTTGTGTCATCTTATTCCATTCTCCATCCCCTTCATCTTCTCTGTGGCACAATTGAATCTCCAAACCACCGTATCATTTCTCAAAATTCAAATCATGGGTTTGTCAATAAAATCGACAAAAAATTGTGATACAAAACCAATCTTACGAAGGACCCACTTTAGAGATGAGTTTTTTGCACGGGAACAATGTGTTGAAAGGATGGGCTGGGAAGGATTACTGAGAATATTCAGGTGAATGATGGGGTGGTAAATTTGACGGCAGGGTTGCAGCCAAGAGCACAAAGGATTGTATGAAAAAAATTGGAATGGGATTGTGGTGCATTACCATGCTGATAAGTGGTGGATGCAGACAATTGAAGTTAGTGGGACACAATTAAATTTATTAAAAGGTTACAAAAAATTTATGAATTCTACAAAAACATATATACATGATCACTATCATAGATTCACAAATCTCATATATATGATAAATAACAATTCCCAAAGAGTTTCAAATAATCTCACATATATAATGAATAAATTTTTTTAATGAATTTTCAAATTAAATATCACAAATGATAAAATAATTTTAACTTGAAGCTGGTGAGTCAAGTGACCCACTAGGACCTTGTGTAGGTCCGCCAATGATGCTGATACTAGAGTACTTGAGGATGGAGAATGAACATAAGGATATATTTGATAGTGATTTTGAGAATTGATTTTTTGACCACTAAGAGAATTGATTTTGAGAACTGTTCTATATTTTAATAGAACTGATTTTTTGACCACATGCGAGAGAAATCAAAAATTACGGCTGGAACGATTAAAAAATCAAATTTTTTGGAATGATCAAAAAATCAGATATTAATTTGGAAGAATTTTGATAAATGGTGGTGGTGTTTTGATGAGCAAGATTTTTCATATTATTTTTAACAAATCTATTCTTAAAAAAATATATTCACTTCTCTTTTTAAGATATTGGCTGCGGTTGGCCTATTTAAGTGCATATCATAAACATCCAAAAAGAGAAAATTTCAGATAAATAATATTTACTGAACTTTTTCAAGATATAAACTGTCGATCAATGAAGGGTTTATAGAGTTTTGATATTCAATAAAATAGCTACCTATTTAAAAGCAACTTTTTCAACTGTTTTTATCGACACGTTAAGTAAGGTAAAAAATCTAGATGGAAGTTATAAATAATCGCCTTTTCTCTATCGTCGCTCCCTCTTTCAAGAAAAGAACAAAACATAAATACATTTTCTTGAAAGACTTTTGTCAATAACGTAAAGATAAATTTTATATCAATTTCGAAGAATAGAAAGCGTGTTAGGAAAATGCTATTTGAGTTCCACAAGTATAATCTAATTAATTGATAAAAAAGTTGCAATCTTGAAAAAAGGTTTTGACAAGCACATCCCAAAATGGAGAATAATCTAATATTCGAAAACGACGTGAAACACTCAGAATACCATAAGAATTTGAGTTCCCTGCTGTCTACGCTACCAGAGCCTTCTATTACTTACAAATTAGTTACGAAAAAAACCAAATAGCTTAATTTTATCACACATCTTGTCAAAGAGTTAGCCTGGGAAAAAAAAAAAAAAAAACCAAAACATCGATCAAACCAATCAAATCGAACCGACTCGAACCAATTGGTTCGTGTCAGTTTCTCATAGGTAATTGGTTTGATTTGATTTACAAAATTATGGTGAATCAATTCGATTATCGTTTGTAGCCTCAAATCGCTAGTTAATCAAACCAACCCAACCCATTTAATGTTTACCTTTTTATGTAAAGAAAAATAAAAATAAAAAGATAAATCATAATCTCTTAACATATCTCAATTTCTTCCAATTTATAATGTTGTTGATAACTAATAACACTAAGAATTTCTTTTCATATGCTCATTATGTTATACTTAGCCATTTTTTCTTACTCAGGGAAATCAGGCTACATAATGTATTAAATAAATAAATAAATAAAATTATTAAGTTTTCAGTTGATCCACCTCTATTAACCTAATTTTATTTATTAGTCAATATTTTTTATTATATAAACTTATTTTAGTTCTTGTAATCTAAGCAGGCACAAAACTTAGACATTTAAAAAAAATAAATCATTTTGGACTAAAAGTTAAAACCCACTAGCCGAATCAAATCAAACTAAACCGATTTGGTTTGGTTCCGTTTATTTAAGAGTTAGAGTGGATTGATTTGAGTTGAAATTCATCAAAACCAACTAATTTGATTTTGGTTTTGAGTTGGAGTCGAAACCAACCCAAACCAAATCGTGCCCAAGCCTATCAAAGATTGAATCAGTGTACTAAACTATTAAACAAATAATAAATTATTTCATCACGAAAGTGTAGCTTCTCCCTCAATACTTTTAGACAATAATCTAAAGGTCTATTTGATAGCATTGAATTTCATGAAAAATATCGCATCCGAGGAATTTGTTTTCAACTTTTTTTATTTGATACGAAAGTGAAAATGAGGTTCAAATTCCAAGGTACAAACACTTAAAGCATAATTTTGACCAATTGAATGGAAATCAAATTCCTATAGTTTTGGTAGTTTTTTCTTTTCCAACTTACATAGAATTAATTTTTCTTTTTCCATCTTTACAATCAAATGAACCCTAAAAGCATAAACTAATGCATATATAATTTTTAGACATGGCCTTTAATACATATATCTTGTTAAATCGCCATCAATCCTAGATAAGATCCATGCTTTGATTGTTGAATGACAATAGTCATTACAACCTCATTATTATTTTCGATCCCTCTTATTTTTGAACTCTGCTACTGAGTCCGACTCAGTAACCGATTCAGGGACAGGCCACCTCAGCCCCCGATCTCATATTTTTTTTTTTTTTAAATTTCAGATCCAAGGGCCGAGGTGAAAACACCTCGGCACCCTGGCTTTGGGCCTTTTTTTGGCCTGGCCAACAACCATTTTCCTTATATATATATCACTCTCATGGGCGGACCTAGGGGGGATTATAGGGTCAATTCACCCTCTAGATTTTGGAAAAAAGAAAAATTTTGTTTAACTTTTTATTTTTTTATAGCTTATTTTTATTTGAAGATACCTTATAAATTTTTTTTTTTGACCCCCTAATCTAAGTCGTTTGGGTCCACCCCTGCTCACTCTATATCTATTCTTATTAAAGTTTTTAAAAAATATATTATTTTCATCGACGTCATATTCCAATATTATCCTTATTAAATTCATTAATTTAAATACTATACATGCACACAATTTTTATATAATTATCTCACCCTAAATCTATCATTTTTACAATTTTAAATTCTTTTTTAAAAAATTATATTTATCCTTTTTATATAAAACAATGGTGGATGCAAATTTTCTAGCTTGTCTCTTCCATTGTTGGTTTCGTATCATAGTAAATTAATATAGTATCCACTATCCTGGAACGTCCATGCTATCCTCATTTTCGCTGGTCGATAATTTTTTAAATCAAACTGTTAATTCTTCTGCATTTTTTGGCTGAGTTACATGTGGAAATCAAACTATTAATCCTCATTTTCTGCATTTTGAAAATCACACTGTTAATCCTCACCCTCTGTATTTTGAAATCAAACTGTTAATTTTTTGCATTTTGTCACCAGAATCTGGTCTGGTTTTAGTTAATACAATCTTCCAATTTAATTTGCCATACAATCTTCAATGCAAATTTTCTATGATGTAAATTTAAAAAAAAAAAAAAAAAGGAAATTATATTAATTTGCTCTAATGGTGTTTCTTCCATTAACTGAAAAGATTTAAATAGATGTTAATAGATTTTGAAATTACAACTATAAATAGCGAACTCCTTAGAAATTCTAGCCGAATCCCCTCAGATTTCAATGGGTTTCCAGCCTGTAAATATAAAGTCAAAATTATTATATAATTGATAAAAATAATGTTGAACAATGAAATCGCCAATTGTAAAATCGAATCGAAATCACTTTTTGAAATCGTTGGTTTGGCACCATGTGAATTTGTCAATATTTTGATTTTGAACCAAGCTAAACCGCTTCGAAATGGTTTAGTTTATATTTCAATTTTTGTAAACTGTTTCAAACTGTTAAATTGAACCATATTCAACGCTAGATAGAAATTTTAAAAAATTAATAGAAATAGAAAATATAAAAATAAATAAATAGTACCGGAGATAAATATAAAGGTAGAATTGGGTTCACTTTTTATTATTGAACAGTCAGAACTCCCTACCAGAGAACCTGACTAGTCCCTTTCAGTGGAGAATAATGCAACACTATTCGTTCACAAACTTGACGAGTCTCTATATTAGTCGAATTCAAAAACAAAGGAGGCAACAAACTGATATTCCATCATTACGTTATACTTCATACAACAGAAAAGAACATAAAAATGTATATTGATTACTGCTTGAGCACCTTATATGGATTCAAAAAGGTCTGCATACTGAATTTAAAATGTCACTGCAACATACGACATCCAACATAATCAATATGTGCTCGTAAATATATATAGAACCTGTCTTCTCATTTTTCGTCACAGCAAAGCTTATGTGTGTCAAAACATTTTTAAGAGAATCCTATAAATTTTAGTTCTACAACAATTAAATACCAAGTTCATGTAATCACCTATTGAATTATGTAAATAAATATAATACATCCGGGAACAGTCAAAATTTGACCAATTGAAATTCAACCTAATGGTATCATTCCCAGTAATCATTTACACTACTGTGAATGGAAAAACAAAAAAGAATGTGATCACTCACATTTACCAACAAGCACAAGACAATTACCTGCTTCCTTGTGATGCTAATTGCTATCCAAAGTTGACTTCTACTGGGCTTTTGGTTTTTGAATCTTCACATAGGGGAAAAATCCTAACATAACTTTTGGACCCCACTCGCGTTGTTGAGCTCGGCAGTACATTAGGAACGTATTTGCAAAGTATGAGTTAAACCCCATCAAGACATGCCACAGTGCATGACCCTGAGGATTGAAATACCGGTGCGAGATGTGGTTGCAGAAGAAATGGTCAACTACCCAACACAGACTCCCAACTAATAGAGTGATCACGTACAACTTTGCAAGCCACTTAGCCGATTTATCTTCTGTCTGAATGTAATATTTGTATGCCCGAGGAATGCAAAGAAGACAAAGCAGAGCATAGTGCACCTTAAAACCAATATCAAAGTGGAGCTGTGAGTGTGCAATAGCAAATACCGCGCCATAGAGGAACAAGAAGGTGGGCATCGTACTTCGATAATGCCAATCTGGTGAGTACAGGATGTAGATATAAAGGAGCATTTCCCACACCATAGGCGTTTCATCACCTTGCTGTTGCCTGAAAACATAAAATTCTAAATGAATGTTGATTGCATCATTTGATTGAACGGCCAAAAACATAAAACTGAAGCTACTGTAAACGAATAGTTTTGGCAAAGAGAAGAATATTCCCATAGACAGTTCCCTGAACGAATTCAAAGCTTAAATAACAAAAGTATGTCTCATTTTTCCAGAATGCAAGTCTTGTTCTTCTTTTTCAGACTCACAAAGAGCTTAAAGCACCAATTTAGCCAAATTACAAATTCCAATATATACAAACGTCAAACACATGATTTTAATCATAATGCCCTATTAAGATGGTACTTCAGAATTTTGAGAAGCGCTAAGAAACAATTACGATCAGAAAAGATCAATTCCTGAAATGGAGCGCAATCCATCAGACCATCATACACCACAATAAAACAGTGCACCCAACAAAAAGCAGCCAAAAGTCCAAATGACACTTAGACAACTAAAAAATTAAACCCTCATGGATTCAGAATGAAACTGTTAGACAACTAATAAATTAATCAGAAATATATATGTATCCAAACCAAAACAGTCGTCCAATGCTTAACAGATAAAAAAGCAACTTTGGAGAGGTCATACAACTGCTGCCGTAATATATTGTAAATAGTGATTCTTATGTAACATTCAGTAGTGTAAAGTCTGTAAAAAGGGACTTAAAATAACTCAACTCATTTACTTGAGAAGATATCATAGAAACATGAAGACCAAGAATGCATATAAACAGCAAGCAGGGTTAAATTCTTCTTGCAATTGTCCCAATAGCTAGATATCATTTCTGCATTATGGAAGAAAGTCTACTACATCCACATCATAGTAGTAATATCCACTTTCGAATGCAGTATGCTACAACTATAAGTTTTAATAGACTTTTTTCTATTCTTGGTGGTAGGTAATTAAAACACCTTGTACACGATGATCAATAGGAAACTACGGAAGAGTCTCATGAGTCCACCTTATCAAGGCACAGATCCTTGGTTTTGCTTGCTGCTTAAGGAGGGTACATGTATCCGTCAATCATTCTTTCCAGAGAACCAGTAAATCTTACTCGTCTAAATACCCTAATTTGAGCATCTTTACACTCTTTGATCTGTATGAGAACTTTCATATTCATATATTAAATAGATATCAGACAGAAAGGAGCAGAAAGAGAAACAAAATGGTGAAAAAAGAGATACAAAAAGACAGTGCCACATCCATCAGAACCTCCAACTATCGTCTTACACGTTTATTTGCTTAAAGAATTAAAATGTAACATGACAACTTAAATGTCCAAATTCATTCTTACTTATATACCAATACAATGTCGTAGCAATGCCTACAGATATTATAAACATAGAACTCTAACAAGTATTTTATGAGCAAAGTGTTATCTGTACAAAGACGTGTTTTTGAATATATTTCCTTACCAGTGATAAAGAAAGCTAGAGAACGCCAAATACATTCAATCAATACCATAAGATTACTTTTTGAACCTTTGGGCATCTGCCTTTGAATGGCCAAAATGTTAAGGGAGTACTTGCATCCTCAAATTATTTACAATTTAATTCAAAATCCTATATTTCTATAACATCCTCATTTTTCTTTAATAATACAATTAAATCCCTATACGGTATGTTACACATCTTATTGGTCAATAGAACACAAAGCAAGCAAAAAGTAGCATGAGAAGGTAACCATAGCTGGACCGATTATCCCTCTAAACTTCATTTGGTCATGACAAGAGAAGAAAACTTAGTATAAATACATTAAATAAAAATCCAAAAATAAAATAAAAATCAACTTGGTTTTCACTTAATGGATGTCCACTTCATAAACCTCCGACCAAGACCCATTACACATCTTGAAGAGGTCCCACATCCATGAGCCCACACAAGGTAATAAGGAGGAAAAACATAATGAAAAAACAGACAAAATAGTAAAGTAAAAATGAATTTCATGTATGACGCAATAATTTGATTCAAAAAGATGTCTCTAACCATAATTAGATTTTATTTTAAGATATCAACTTACCTTATAATAAATAAAAAATGCGATTATGCTCTAGAATTTTCACAATAATCAGCTATTGGCTTTCCTTCTCTTTCTAAATATACATTGAAATGGTTTAAAGATTTATTGAAGTGTTTCTTTGAATGTTACTAAAGAATTCTAGACTTGGTGTGTTGTTTCTTTCTTTGCAAACTCCGACACAAAATTATATGCTGTCACCACCAAACAAAAATTTTAGCAAAGTTTATATTGTAAATCACAACCATAAAAGGTCCATCAGCCCTCTATGAAACTACAGCCTTTCAAGGCCAACAAAAAAGGAAAAGCAGATTGACGAGAACATAAATTGAAAACTTACAGCTGTTGCAGCGTAGAGTGATATAACATGCTGCCAATGGCAAGAATCATGTTAGATATGTGAAGGATGCTAAATCTTTTCTCAAATTGTTGGCTCAAGGAAATCATGAGACCAATAAGTGCTAAAATAACACTTGGGACATTCGAGATCATGTTGAAAAATTCGGCAAAATAGGAAGAGTAGACAAAATTTGGCTCACACCAATCATGCGTTGATGTGATGGGACCCCAAAAGCTTGATATTTCATCAGCCATTCTGAAGGCCCAGAATATAACTACTGCAGAAGAACTTTTCAGGATGCTGCTGATCTAGAATCCTACAAATGATTTTAAGGGGCAATAACGTGAATAGATATAAACTTAGTCAAACAAATTTAAAATATATCTCGTAACAATCACATTTACCACTGTATAAAAGCTGGTAAAAGGAATAGAACTATACATCAATTTTTAGATCCAGAGTATTAGATCCTACTAATGCAGTGGATTTAAGCACAAGAGACTGGTGAAGTTCTACCTTTCACCATCATCCTCTAATATAAATGATCAACATATATATTCACTGATGATAAATTACTTCAATAATCAGCTTTTATGAAAAAGTGTGAACAGGTTTGAGTTCATGCATACATTAATCCACAGATATGACAGATACCAAGTCAGCTATTAAATATGAAGCTTTAAGAGATCAACTGGAAATAAACCCTGCCATTTACACGTAACAAAAATCTAGACCAGATTAAATGGAAGCAGGTCTTTGCTGGTATTAGCATCACATTGTCTTAAATATAAAATTTGGATTCTCTTCACATGTTACTGAAATCAGAAATGTATCGCATTACACTGATTTCAAAGTGAAGTATGGATTTCATAGTGTGGTGATAGCATGATCCAGTTTTGCAACTCTAAACTATGTACGTGTTACAGTAAATTTCTCTTTTTTTGGCAAAGCATTGTATTTTTGGGAAGTCCACAACTTTTATAGCTGATTTGGCACTTTTGGACAAATCTGAATAAGAATTAATTTTTCCTTTAAAAAAATGAAATGGTGACTAGAAGCTTCTGCACACTTACCTGATTGTTCTTTCACAAGTAGCAACTCTAGTGAATATTTTGAGAGTGAGAGTGTAAAGTTCTAACTTTTTTTCTATCCTCAGACACTAAATTTCCATATGAGTGCCAAAATTAGTTCAACAATAACCTAATCTACAGACAATGTGAGTAGATGATAAGTACAGCCTCCATACACACGTATATCAGAAATTAAACGAAACCTTCATGCTTTGGTTATAGAATCCAATCAGATTGCATATTTTCCTCCGTCAAACTTCAAAAAAATAAAAAATAAAAAATAATTCACCACCACATTCACATCAACAAACCTCCCTGCCAACCCATCCCCGCCGCATCCCACACACAAAACCTTAAAAATCACAAATTAAAATGTAATTAGTGCAATTTACCTTTGAAAATCAGATCTGATTAGCGCCCAATTCAACGTACACGAACCTATTTTTATTCTATTTGCTTGTGCCTACGTGATTCAATATAAAATATCTGCATTTGAAAAGTTATAGCCTACACTTTGATCCTCAATATATATGAGCAGTGCTTTATTGACAGAATGAAAGTTTATATAAGCTTTAACACAAATGCGTTAGCCCGCAATTTATTGTCAATTTTTTGGGCGCTTCTCCAGACCAGACTAAGTGGAGCCTCAGAATATATATTTTTTTTCAAATAACATAGGGTCCCATCTTTACAGCGAGTGAGGTGTCAGTAAGGCACCTGTGAAACTTTTCTCGGTACGTAGGGATTAAATCCAAATTTTTATATACGCATGGAACCCGGCCTCCTCTCTCTTCTGGCTCCGTTTTGTGATCAATTAATATGTACAATCAGATTTATTGAATATATATATTATATAATAATCTCAACTCTTGTGTTTGAGTTCCTCTTTGAGTTCCATTAGGGTTGCAAATGCTGAACCAAACTTTTTCTATTTTAAATTGGGTTTACTTATGAAATTTAAGGCGCGTGTGAGAATATGTTCAATATACCGTTGGATGGAATAAAATGAGCGGTTGAGATTGTGCCCCTGTTTGGCCCTTGTCACGTGGCAATTTTAATTTCTAGAATAATATTTTTTGAAAAATGTATAGTTAAAAAAATGTAAAAGATTTTAATTTACGTATAATATTATTTTATAGAAGATTATGTAATTGAAAAAAATAGAGAATTTTTTTTTGAGGTAATGAGGGCCAAACGAGAGCTAGGGGTGAAAACGACTGGATTTGAACGTTTTGAGACAAATTTTCAAATCATACCATTTAAAGCAATTTGAAATTTTTTTCAAACCAAATCAAACTAATTTAATTGCTAAACCAAACCATTTTTTCCGGTTTGGTTTGGTTTAAAACCACGATTTAACAAAAAAAAATAAATAAATATATATCAAATAAGTTAAATCATAAATATTGGTCTAAAATTTCGTGTTAAAACATAAATTGTATTATTAAAAAAATTACAAATCAAAGTTATATAATTATAATCATTATAATGTAACAACATGATATAAATATTTTAAACTCTTAGTCGATACTAATACCGTTCATATGCAAGTGTAATACATGATTCATTTTCTTCATAAATATAAAAATATAGTATATAAATTCATTGATTATAGTTAAATGATATAAAATAATTAATAAAATAAAATGAATAAAAAAATTCGAATATAATAGTACCTAACTACTATGACTTTATGTGAATCATTCAAAGTTTCTACTAAATCTAAATATTAGTAAATTACTCTAATGGAGATCGACAAACTGACAATTATTAGAATAAAACAACATAACTACCAATAAAAATATAAAAAGAGTTACAAAAAAATAAAAGAATTTTGGCAATCTGACTTGAATTTGAGCAAAATTTGAGATAATTATTAGAAAGAAATGAAATGTGCAACTTTAAATTAAAATCTGGATTTTATTGTCTGCTCAATTATAATGAAGAATTGATGAATGTGGTTTAGCATCGATTGTTCAACACTTTACCAAATTTGAGGATTTTACATTCACAGTTGTTATGACTTATGAATATTTGAATATAATTAATTAATTAGTTAACGAGATGTATAATTGTTGAATTGAGTTAATTGAATTATGTCTCGTATGGATGTATCTTTTCAATTGAAATGTGTTAAGTTTTAATTGGGTTAAATAAAATTTAAACTAATTTATTTTCAGATATTTTTTGGTAAACGGTTTGAAAAAATTGAAACATAAACCAAACCATTTCGAACCAATTTGATTCGGTTCAAAACCAAAACGTTGACAGATTCACGTGGAACCAAACCAACGGTTTCAAAAAAAATGGTTACGATTCGATTTTGCGATTTGACGATTTCGTTGTTCAGACCTATCGAGTACTGTATGAGTCTTCGTCTCTCGTTGAAATAGAAATCAATCTATAGATGCTTTTATGTCAATTGTATTTCACGCTAAAATTCATTGTTAGATCTATTAAGAATTATTTAGCCTTGTTTGATTTAATTTAAGTCAAAATTAACAATTAACTTTAATCACATATTTTATAAAATCTATCTTTTCAATCATACATTTCATCAATTTTATCAAAATCTAATAAAAATATAATTTTAATTCCATCAAATATGGGCTTAATTTCTTTTAAGAGGAAAGTGACATGCGATTGTATATTTTAACAATTGTCATACACGTACATAATGATTTACATATATTTGATATAATAAAATATGATTGGGTCAAAAATTTTCAACCATATAAAAAAATAAACTATTTGTATAACCCTTGTTGACAATTTTAGTTGTGTCGAAATTCGAGCAGTTGATTTAAAAAATAATTTTTCAAATGGATGAATGTAAAGCTGTCAAGTGTCATGATTCTAAAAAGAAAAAAAAATTTCACTATCTTTTTAACGCATCATTTATATGTAGACTATTATTCAATTTCATTATGTATGAGTAGCATTATTCATATTTTAATGCAGTCAACCGACCACTATCCTCTGACTTACCATTAGTTTGTCTTTATTTGCTTTAAAATTTATTTTTAACTATATAATTTATGAGATTCACAACTTTTATCAAGATTTTTAATGATATATTTCATTAATTTTATCAAAATCTATTAAAAATCACATTTTTAACTAAACCAAACAAGGGCTTAATAAGATACATTTGGTACAGTAAAAAAAATGCCAAGTTGTTTTTTGTTAGCTGCATTCCATTTTTGTTAACTTAGCATATTTGAAGTAGGTCAAGCTTGCATTGAATCAAAACTGAAAATTAAATAGATAATTGAGAAAAAAAATTCAATGTCCAATAGCACTTATTCATTTACCGTAAGCTACCTTCGATAAATATAAGTTGATTTGAATACTGGAAGCTACCTTCGATAAATATAAGTTGATTTGAATTTGTTCAAAATCAATTACTATGATGTGCTAGCATTATCGATCCCATATTTTTATCGAAGTATTCGTCATTTCTCAGACCTTGTTTGGGAGTGATTTTAAAAATTGATTTTTTGACCATTAGGAGAAAAGTGGGATCGATCTGTGAGAGAAGAAATCAAATATGACGGCTGGAATAATGAAATAACGGTCAAAAAAATCAATTTTTGGGCAAAAAAATCACTCCCAAACAAGTTGTCACTATGTTTCTTGCACTGTACATTGAGAGCACAACAAATTCGAAAATCGAGCTTGGGGAATCGAAATTTTTCTTCAAATATCATGTAATATTGAAAGTGACAAAAATTGAAATTCTAGAATAGATAGATTTTAAGTAGAGTCTAGTTTATTCTTGTTTCCACTGTGCAAGTAGTGAAGAAGGTATGAAAGGGTCCAAAAATGATATCATACTCCATTGTATCCATCCTTTTTTAGTGCACATTGGTTTAAATACAATGTCTCTTTCTAGCCACTTATCAAAGAGAAGCATTAATTCAAGTTGTTGATAAAATAATAGAATAAAATCAAACGTGATTAGGTAAAGTCATAACATATCAAAAGGGAAAAAGAGAAGTGTCCACAATGCCTTCCTCCCCAAGAAAGGGACAAGTGTGCAAAAAATAAATAAAATAAAATAAAAAAACGTTGAACAACTTGTTTTCTATTGATTTAAAATTGATCTTGAACTTAGAAAAATAAATTGATAACTCATAATTATATTCAAAACGAGTCAGGTTTAACTAACTTGATACTTATTTATAAAAATATTCAATGTAACATACATATGTTAATTTACATAAAAATTCTAAAAAATATATTTAAATGAATAATTTATTTTTATTTTTATTTTCTATAATTTGAACTCAATTTATTATCTGTTTTTATTTTAATTTTGTAAAGAGAAAAATATTTTCAAATTCACCAACTTTAAAATGTATATATCACTTGACGAGACATTAACATAAAATTATTGTATTTTTTACCGAGTAATTAAATTTAGTGGGATAAATTGTTATAAAATAATTTTTCAAAATTTCAAACTAAACATGTTTTTAAGTTTTATATTTTGAGAAATAATTTCTCAAAATGACAAATCAAATACATTTTTAACAATTTTAATAAAGACTCTCAAAACAAAAAAACTAAAAATAAATTCAAAATTGAAAATTAAAACACAAATAAAATGAGTAATGCTATTTAATTTCATTGGGGTTACAATTTTAATTTAGACGAAGTTAATGTGACATTAAATGTTATGTGAAATTGAGTAAGTCATTTAATTTTACCATTTATTTAACCTATCAACAAACACCACCTCAACTAATGTTGTAACCCAGTGCAGTTACATAGCATCACTCAAATAAAATAGGCAATTTATAAAAAAAAAAAAAATGGGGTCTAACTTCGGTGAGTTAATTGTTCCAATGGTCAATGAACTTAGATCCATGTTTTTTATTAATCACTGAAATTTAAAAATATTGAATTTTTATTATTGAATTTAGGTTCATATCTTCGATTGCTTCATGTTTTCGATTGCTCACTGAAATTTAAAATATCGAGTTTTAACCACTGAACTTTGAAAATCGTACATTCCTAACTGAATTTTGGAAAATGATGTACATTACTCACTAAACTTTGAAAAATATTATACATCACTTACTGTAAACTCGATATTTTGTAAAATTCAACAGTAATGTCAGTGAGTAACGTACGATATATTTTAAAATTAAGTGGTCAAAACTCGGTATTTTAAATTTCAATGAGCAATTTAAGACATGAGCATAATCGAAGACATGGATCTATATTTAGTGATCAAAACTCGACCCTTTAATCTTCAATAATCAATCAAAAGTCATGAACCTAAGTGATTATTGGAACAAAACTCAACTTAGGCATATAATTTAGGGTTGTAAGAAGGCCATTTTGATTAATTTCAGCTCAACCTCCTGTAAACCCATTTGAGTTAAACTGAACTACCCGAAATCGAATCGTGTTCTTTCTTTCTTCATTTGGCTGCAAAAAAGCCTTCCAAATATGGGAGATCATACTACTTATGCCGCCACCGCCTCCAAGAAGCTTCCGATTCCTGGGAAGCGGAATATCCTCATTACAAGCGCGCTGCCTTATGTCAATAACGTGCCTCACCTCGGCAATATCATTGGATGTAATTATCCAATCTTTTTACTCCATTTAAGTACATATTTATTGTATTTTTTTTTTTTTTTATGTTTTTTTGTTCTTTAGGTGTGTTGAGTGCGGATGTGTTCGCGAGGTACTGTAGAAACAGAGGTTACAATGCAATATATATCTGCGGTACGGATGAGTACGGTACGGCTACTGAGACTAAGGCGTTGGAGGAGAAATGTTCTCCAAAAGAAATTTGCGACAAGTAATTTAATCGATTGCTTTATGCATATTTTGATGAAATGCTCGTTTCTGCGTATTTCTTGATTGATTAATGCATTTCTTGCAATTTTGATTTCTTTTAAATTTCAATATTTCTGTACTTTCTATGTGTTTTATGGATAACACATTAATTCGGTTTGATTAGAACAAAAATGGATTGGTTTTAAAGGGCACCGTTTTATTTTTTATTTTTTTTATTTTTTTGAAAATGAGAAAACAAATATTTTGTAGTATTTATTACAGTTTGTTATTAGGTTCGGCGTTTAGAAAGAGCACATTTTTATTCTTTTAGTGCGAATCTGGAATGTAATCGTCCATTTGTGAAGAATCGATTCACTGATAAATTTTCCCTTATCATATCAACTTGAGTTCAAATATTGGTGCATGCGATATTATCAAAAGACAAGGAAAGGAAATAGAAAAAGAGAAAAATGGGAAAAGGGTTCTATAGTTTAAACTAGAAGGAAAATGCTCTGTTTTGTTGCAGTTTTAGAGGCTTTTGCAATTTCATATCCATGATCTATCTCTGTATTACATATTCCCCGATGCTGGACAAAAGGATCCTGACTTGGATCTTTGTGTATAGTTGTCTTTCTATTGATGCAACGAGAGAAAGAATCATTTAGTTATCTAATATGCATAATTTTCATTCTAGTTAAAATTGTGATCCTTTTATGATGTAAAGGAACAATGGATGATAGCAATCTGTCCCAAGGTACACCTTTTCATTGTCAATGCATTTCAACTCTTATGCCATCTCATTGCTTGAGAAATGTTAGTGGTAGAAAGTTGACTTTACCATTTGCTTTTTTGTTGGAATTTTATATCATTTCAATTCAAAGAAAGTGTCACTTCGTGATGCGATCTCGTTGCTTGAGAAATGTTAGTGGTACAAAGTTGACTTTACCATTTGTTTTGTTGTTGGAATTCTATGCCCGTGACTGGGAGAAATTTTAATCAAGATAAAAATGAA